CCAAAGGCAGCCCGGTGTCCTCTTAGCCATGGCGTGTGCCTGATTAGCCGTGTGTGTCTTATTTTTGGCATTTTGTGCTCATCTTTTATGTTTTCGGCATTTGGGGATTTTAGTTTTTTGGTTTTTGGTTTTCGTTTCTGGTTTTCACTTTCACTTGCTGCGGCGCCTGCTGCCGCAACATGTTGTCCAATTAGCCGACAGGGCACAGCATAAAGCTGCCTCATTTCTGTGGCATGTACTTCAAATGTCATGTAAGTTGTTGTAGCCCGCGGGCACAAAAAATGAAATAAAATAAATACAACTGCAAGGAAAAGTGGACTCATTAGGCTACTTCAAAAGCTAACCTCATAATCTCAGCCACAGGGCGAAAGGTTCAATTACAGACCTAGTTCCTTAAATTAGATGAAAAGAACATAACTTTGAAATCTTGTAGATGTACAATACATATTTCCGCTGGCAGGCACTTCAATCATTCGGCTGCTGAACTAACTAGAGAAGAAGTCAGTCAATTAACAAAATATGACTTGAGATTAAGCTTGAAGCTTACTGTTCATTTATTTCGTCCATCAATTACTTATCTTCAAATTGGATTGCTCAATCAGCCTTGAGCTTTGGCAATACATTATAAGATATATTTCAACAGGCACCTTCGATCATTTAATCAAACAATTTATTTGTAACGAAACTTGTAGAGTCTACATGATTGCGCGCATTTGCATGAATTTTGACATCAATCATTTGCCATCAATCTACTGTCAATCATGACAGTCCAGCTCATTTACAATCTAGATCATTTAAGCACAGCTTTGGCTAGTATCAAGGCTTTCAGCCCATTATTCTAGACTTACAGGACATCTCCATCAATCAGCCCATGTGTTCTTATTTGAATGTTAAGCTTATTTCTTCTGATCTACAGCTTAACTTTCAGCTTTTGTAGGAATACACTTTTGATTTCCAACAACGACCTATCTCACATCAGGCCGAGACTTTCAATCAAACCTTTTAAAACTCATCACGAGCTTTTCGTGGAGCTTTCTGCTATTAATCTAGATTTTCTTTCTGGTTAAAATCAGTTCTTCAATCACAGGCTTTTCTCATACCAGCTTTTGCTATCCATCACCTAATCTCAATCAAACCTAGCTCTTCAATCATTGACTTTCCTTAATCCAGCGCGTTTCAGATAATTAGGGGCTATTATTTGCGAGCCTATCTTTGGCTATTTGCAGCATTTGTAAGGCTTTGCAGTCCATTCGTAGCAGACACCTACCATCAATCTCACCTATTCGCTCAATCAATGCTCATGACCTTTGCTCCATTTACGAGCTTTTCAGCAAAGCTTTTAGCCATCATTCAGGCCCAATAACCGCAAAGCTTAACCCCGCCACCAGCTCACAGTCTAGAGCCGTTTGGAGGCTCGTTAAGCGCCTGTTAATGACGCAATTTCCGTGCAGTGACCACCGTGTGCGACCTTTGGGGTCAGAGCGGTGACCAACGTACAGCATATACGTATATCGTATTGTATAAACGTAGATATTGGAGCGCACACAACTTCCTCTTCTGGCTAATTAGCTTAGCGCCGTTAAACTGTTTGCTTGTTGAACTACACGAGTCGCACATTTCTATGGCATCGATGCGAATTGCCCGCCTTCAGTTACCCAACGTTGGGCAGTTCTTTCACTCCATCTTGCTTGTTTTTTTTTTTTTTTGGTTTGGGTCTTGCTGGAGTGTGGGCTTTGCCAAAATGGCAGACAATAAATAAAGCACACACAAAAGGAAGGGCACAGAAAGGGGTTGCTGCTGGGCGGCTGCTAGATAGCTCGAATCGTTGTCTCCAAAACATGCCGCAAGCACAAATATATTTGATGGGCGAGCCAGGGACCCTTAAAGGACATTCCGCTACACACACTTCCGGGCCATTACACTGAGAAATGTGACACAATTTGAATAACATTTAAAATATATAAAATTGAGCATCAATTCGGTCCAAGAAATGGGCTCCGAAGTGGTTCTTAAGCCCACCAAGCGAACCAGATACTTAAAAAAAAGAAGACAACAAATGTAAGCAACAATAGAATGTTATCGATTGGGCATACCCTGTATTCAGTTGCGTTTCTCTGAATTTTCAAGGACTCGGTTGTCGATGCTTATTAAGAAGCTTCAGACACTTTATTCTCATACAAAGAGACTCTCTCTGTTATGCTGTTATATTTTCGCTGTTATACAACTACTGTTATACAGGTGCCAAGCGTTAGTCTTGATAACCTGTTGTGTCTTGTGATCTGTTATACAGAGTCTTCTATGTATCTATTTGCTATAAACACGCCATACCACATTTACTACATATTCACTGATATGTAGCTTCTGTTATACAGCTACTGTTAGATGCTGACTGATAAATACAATTTCTCAGAGTGTCAACGTAATTAAATATGACATTTAACATTCTTTCTGATATGCTCCTTGCGCTAAGCAATTTCGTTATACAGCTTCGTTTATATGCCTTCTGTTAAACAATATTGTATTTATTACATTCTGTTATACTTCGCTTTTCATATATTGTTGAATATATTCAGACTGCTATAAATATATATTCTGTTATAGAATGTCTTCTGTTAATTAGACTCTGATATACTTCGCTTTATATATATATATTCGTCGTTTACTACTGTTTTAATACAATTTCTGTTGTTGAATTCTGGTATTTACCTACAGTCATACAATTACTGTCATATGCTGCCCGGCAAATACAATTTTACATAATATTCCATCTGATATACGCTTCGTCTGTTGCAGTTGAGTTATATATTTTCCTTTATAAGTCTTTTGTTATACAACTTCAGCAATACAATCTTCTACACTCTGTCTATATAAATATATCTGTTATATAACATTAATTATATGGCTTCATCTTACAGGGTTTTAAGAGGCGTCTAAATACGCATGTTATAAAACTTGATTTTTGGATCCTTTGTTGAATTTGGCTAACTTTCTTTTCAGCTCTTTTGTCATTTAGTGGCTTCCTGTTATACTCTTTAGCACAACTTTACAGGGTATAAACGAAACGAAACAGCTTGAAATTGTAGAGCAGCCCCGTTCATTGTCTACGGCAGCGCCTACACATGTTGCTGTCGTTGTCTTTTGGGCAAGGGAACTGAATGAATCTTTGGGCTCTCGCTCGTCAGCGTCTGTGTCTGCGGCCTTTTCCACTTTTCTTCATTTCTTGCTTATTTTATTTTCTTGTTGTTGTTTTTTTTTTTTTTTTTGACTAAATTGCGTAAATTATTGGCATATGTTGTCGAGGCGAGCGCAATGAAACATTTTAACCCTTTTCGTTGGCTGCGTCGAGGATGTCGCTGAAATTGACAGTCGCACATTGTTGGGGCGCGGCTGGTAACAAGCGGAAGATGGGCACCGAGGACGGGGGCAGACCGCGGAGCGGCCAGATGTATGGGAGGGGGCAAGGGGTAGGGTATGGTGAGGTTCAGTCAGGGGCAGCGAGATACTTTGGCATGGCATTTCATTCCAATTTTGCGTCCGCCCGCCCCGTCCCGCCTCCGGCTGCCAGTTGGCTGTCAGTTTTGTTCGCTTCGTTTTCCTTGCCTCGCTCCTTGGTTTTCCTTTTCTTTTCAGCGTTATTTTTTTTTGTTTTTCTTGGCGTTTTTGTGTTTTTTTTTTTATCATTTATTCCCATTCTTTGGCATTTTATGTGCGCTATTTCGCGAAGTAGAACAATAGCCCGACACTGCAAACTGGAAGTGGAGCTGGGAAATGGGTTTCGTTTTGGATGCCGCCCGACTAGCTGGTCCCGGCCTGCTGCTCGTAGGACCTGCTGGCCCATTCATTCTTCTTCTGCTTCTGCTTCATCTTGGTGCTCTCTTTTGTTACAACTAAACGCGGACTCCGCACTATACTTCATCTGCGGCAGCTACTTTTTTAGCGAGACACCCGACCATGCCACCATACCCCTGCACCTACCCCCACCAACACACGCAACCACACTCTGGACACCCCTTTGGCTGCTGGTGTTATCCAACTTTATTGTCTTGCCAAAGAAATAGACTTTTAATATACCCGGAGCCTAGCCCGGCACACAATACATGGACTACCATTATAGTATGTGTGTGTGTGTGGAAATATTAGGCGCTTTTGCCAGTTCATTGACTTGCCACAACAATAGTTTGAAGTTTGTCTGCCAAAATATGAGCGAACATTTTAGAACCTAGCCAGAAGGAGAAGGCGGGACGGAGGCTCAGGACAATTGCGAACACTGCTGGAAACATGAAACCATATACGGCATGGCCCAGGCAAAGTTGAGCCAATAAACGAAGGGAACTACATCGAAATAAAAAGAATCGAAATGAAATCCCAGCAATTGGGGAGTGAGAGGGACCTAGAGATCGAGAGAGATAGAGAGAGAGAGACAAGGAAAGCGTGAAGAGGAAGAAAATGATCCTTAGCTGAGGGAGCAGGTGAAAGACGAGATCCGCAGCGACATGTAATGATCTGATAGGCCAAAAGGACAATAGTGTATTGAAAGTTTAAGAGAGCAAACGAAAAAAAACCCTACGAAAAAATTGAAATGTTTAAAAAAGAAATATATATAAAAATCGGGAACAGAAAATGAGACATAAACAATTCGCGGGAGGGCGAAGGTGAAAAACAGTAGAAAACCCATCGAACTAGGAGCAAATCATAAGATGATCGGCCGATCGCTGAAAAAGTTAAAAATAGTCCAATGATCTTGTGCGAAAATTTCAGAGCTACATACACTTAAATTACCAAGTAGGTTCTTTTATAGGTCGAGCTCCTCCGACCAGAGCACAATTGCTTCTCTTTTCTTCATCCTTTTCCCAAATTTCCCATCAAGAAAAGAAGCTACACCCAAAACTAACATAGCATGATGTGAAATAAGATAACAATTTGCAAAAAACTTTAAATATGAAATCTACATAATTTTTTTGTAGTCAAAGTAGGCTTGTGGGCAACCGGAAACACTCAGAGCAAAAAGCTAAAGGCACATAATAACATCGAAATTCGAAAGCTAAAAAAAAAACTTATTATTTTTTTGGTTAAGTAATCAACCAGAAGCCCCATCTGAGCAGAGCGGGTGGTCCGTGAAAAGCAGCCAAAAATCGAGATGTCTGACAAGCAGCAGCAGAAGCCTGCAAAGCCAGCGAAGGCAGCAAAGGATGCGAATCCGGGCAGCAGCGGAAACAGCAATACGCGACCCAATGCCAGCCAGATGGAGCAAACGGAGAATACGAATGTGTTTAAACAGCTCTTTGCCACGCTCGAGGCAGAGCACCAGAAGCTACAGGATCTGGAGCAGCGTCGTCTCAAGCTCACCGAAGAGATGAAGAATCTGCGCGATATGCTGCAGCAGGAGAACCGCAGGCTGCGCAGCAGCTCCGAGGAGGCCCAGGCCCGCAACAATGCCTCAGCAGGTTCAACATCAGCCGGAACAGTTCTCAGTTCTCTATTTGGCAGGAAATCGAAGAGTGTCAAAATAGCCAAACAGCCACCAAGTGAGTAGAACGCCAGAGTTAAATAGCTGCATCTGCTGCTAAATTGACAACCAATTTGCAGAACAAATCGCCCATCAGCATCAAATGCCCGACCATATTGACCAGGGCATACACTTGAACACATTGGAAAATCAAATGGCTGGGCGTGCTGGCAAGGAGGAACTACAACTGATGCCAGCGGAGCTCTGCGAGCCACCTGGCCCACAAACGTCCGAGGTGCTCATCCAGCTGATCGATTCGAGCTCTGCCATGAGGCAGCTGCAGACAATCGAATTGCCAGCGCTTTGGCATACGCCCGTCAGCTCAGTGGATCTGGAGTCATTTCTACAGATGTCGAACACATCCGTGGCCCAATCAAGCACTGATGAGTCTAGAGACGCTGAATGAGTGCGTCGAGAACAGATTCGCGGTAGCAAGCTAGATCGATTCAGGTGCTCAGCATAGCCATAATATAGATATATACTTTAGATACCAGGGGAACCAACATAAAGTTCACTTACAAATTTTAGTATTCAATGTTTGACATAAGTACACAAAAGCCTACCTGATCAGACTGTATAACAACTAGTTGATTTCTATTCAATGGGTGGACACACTAAATACCCTATATACTGCCTAAATACTATTCAACTGAGAGCAAAACAAATCTAGCAGAGAAACATAGATGTAGTATTGTATCAATTGCAAGTAGTTCTCGGCAAATGAATGGCTCAAGGCTCAAGGCAGGTCCAGGGATAAGGTGTTCTCCTCCTTTTCTCCCAAGCTAAGGCAGCAAGTGCTATTTGAAAAGAATTTAATCATAATATCTTTCTCGCGCTGATATTACGAACTCTAGAAATATGAAATATTTTCAATGACGTCTTCTCTTTTTAAACAATTAAATATACAATTTTTTAACGCCCCACGAAATAGGTCTATTATTCAATATACTGAATTAATATATTTTTACTTGGACATTTTTTATAAATAAGGCTTTTCAGATTGGAATTATTTTTCGCGCTTTCGTTGCTTATAATTCTCAAGTAGTTATAGCTTCAGACCGAGGACAAATCTAGAATCTTTCTCTCTCTTCTCACTTTGTATTTCTATTTTCCTCTCTCTTATTTTCTTTCTTCTCTCTCTTATTGTCTCTCTTTTTCTCTCTTTTTTCCTTCCATCTGTCTCACTTTTCTTCCTCACGTTTTTTGCTCTTCTTTTCTCTGTCCCATCCTCTCCCTTTTCTCTCCCTTTTCTCTCCCTTTTTCTCTCCCTTTTTCTCGCACTCTTTCTCTCTTTTTCTCTCGTGCTCTCTTCTCTGTTGAATTGCTGTGCGTTTTTCTTGTAATCTTTATTCAATTTGTTGACCTTTGTGTTTCGTTTTGTTTGACTTGGCTCCTGCTGCCGCTGGTGCTGCCAGTTGCCGTCCGTTTCCAAAACAAATTAGTTGCCAACTGTCCGAAACAAATGTTGCGCACGCCCCAACTGCCCACTACCGAACACCCCCCCACCCCCTCCTCCATGCCACCCACACGTAAGTACATACTGTATACTGTATATATATATATATATTGTACGTATAGAGGAAATCATATCAAGCTCAGCATTTCAATCATAATGCCGCTGATGAGCTGAGTTGGCCATTGGCGGTGCAGGGTGGTGCGGGGTGGTCTAGGCTGCATGGCTGGGCATTGGGCAATCTCCAGTGGGACAGCTGAATGTTTGAGCTGGGATATGCTTGGCCGAGGCTCGTGTGCGTATGTGTGTGCTTGTGTGTGTGTACACAAGTACGAGGCATGTGCTGGGCATATTGATTGGTGGTCAGTACCCGCCGCCCCCCGCTCCGGCCCCATCGCTCATAGGCACAGTACGTGCAGCCTGTAGAGCTGAGAGAGGCGTCCCCGTGCACTGTAGGTTGTTGCCATTTTTATTATTATTTTATTTTTTGTGGCAACTTCAGGCTGCCTGTGCGACTAGGTCAAGAGGTCAGGCCACGTGTACTGGCTGGGCGAAAGGGCGGCAAATTTGTCTGTGGAAATGCGCACTCAAGTAAGCGAGCAGAGGGGGGTTGAGATTGTAGGCATTCCTTCATGTGCCATGCAAATTTCACTGCACAAAGTTTGTGTTTGCAACATGCTCGCCCACCCTCTCAAGACCTCCCGCCGCCACGACGGCTGCCATATTTCGCATATTTTGCCATATTATATTTTTTTTTTGTATTTTTTCTTCTGGCAGCGCAAATGCACTTGAAGTTTTGTCGTTGTTGTTATTGTTGTTGTAGCAGGAAGCCGGAAGCCGTAGCCGTAGCCGAACCCAAACAGAACGCGGAACTTCTTGCAAGTAAACTAAACCAAACTAAACTCAAACCTGAACTCGAGCCCAAGCCCAAGCCCAAGCCCGAGCCCGAGCCCGCTGAGCGAAGCAAACAACTTTTGCCTGCAGCACCTGTCCCCAAGGGGGGAGGGGCAAACCAACAACGCCCACAGAAATTACTTATGTATATTATTGTTGTTCCTAGTCGTTGCTGCAAGGGGAAGGGTTTACGGCGGACAGGAGAACTCGTGAAGTAGGTCATTAGGGGCGTTCTTGCTGTCCGCCCGCTGGGCTACTTGAATTATTAAATGTTTGTTCATAGAGAACATTTCCCAGGACCTGCCAGTTGCAACGACGTTGAAATGCTGAAAAGTTTCCAAAAAAAAAAGAAAAGAAAATAATAAAACGGAAGAGAATCAAAAACTCCTGGCGGACTCTTAAATTCAGTTTGGACTATACCCTGTACACATTAGAAATGGGAGTGCAAGACGAACAGACGCTTTCACATAGGACACGATACAACTAACTGCTGGATATACCACATCTGGTACACGAAAGGATTGGAATGTACTTTGAATATTTTTTAAGTCTTAGAACAATCGCTTAGTAGGCAAAAAGGGTGTATACAAAGGAGTGTGCATTCGGGCACTTTGAGATAAGTCTAGGGTATCCTCTAGTCTAGCACTTCAAGCTAGCATCTTCTTACTTGTTTGTATGCATCAGTTGTAACCGTTCAAGTGCAAGTTGTCGGGCATCAGTTGGACTCAGTTGCAATCATATCTTACCAAAGGTTTGCGTAATTTATAAACTTCAATGTGCGAAACTTACCTGTGGAGAGGGAGAAGAGGGCAAGAGGAAACATTATTAGCAATAAATATAAAATGCAGCTTAATAAATTGAGATTTAAGTAAAACTCGGCAATAAATACTCTAAAAGCAAGCTAAAGCATTAGGAAAACCCTTAGAAAGTAGCTTAAATGAAATAAATTACGATTGAAAATTGATTTATTTATATTAACATTGACATTTAACAGTGAACTGCATTAAAATAACTGCAATGCCAACAGCACTCGATTGGAAAATACCCTACAGTTAGGGTAATGATAAGTTTAGATATTTTATAAGCTATTTGTTGGCCAAGCTTAGGGTATTTATTCTTCGGCATTCATAAAGACATAATTCTAGATAGTTATTTTCCTTTCTGTTTGGCCTTCTTTATGTTTACAGGGTATGAGCTCTGTTAATTAAAGCTGTTTTGCATTTAACAAACTTTTACTTCAATTGAAATATAATTAAGTAAACTTAAAGTAAATCTATGGAAGTCACACACACGCACGCACACACGCACGCACACACACACAGCCACACACATCTAATAATACTCTGCATTTGTGTCTGTGGGCCCACTCTGCGTGGCAGGGTGGACCGTACAAGGGGCTGGGAAATCATATGCATATGAGCTGTGCCACGTTCTCTGCTCGCATTGGGGTTGTCCAATAAAATGTAATTGGAGTTTTCATTTAATAAAGCGAAAAAAGAGAAAAAAAGCAAAATAAATAATAATAAACGTAGCAGGGCACAACAATTCTAACCCGGTTTGCATTAGGCGTCCCTTTCACGAGTTTTACCCAAACGAAGAAAAAATCGTTGCATACAAACAGGCTGTGCCCAACTTTGTGGCGTGTCTCTCCGTCTCCCTCCCTCCCTCTCTTTCTCACCATTGCTCTCTCTTTTCATCGCTATCTCCGTGTATTGTTGTGCATACAATGTATACACTAGAGCATCATCATAGATGTATCCACTCAGTCGTTGTTATTGTTGTCAAGAGCATTGGCTACCCTACTCTTGCCCGTCTCCCTCTCCCTCTTTCACCATCTCTCTCTCTCTCGCTCTCTCTCTCTCTCTCTCTCTCTCTCTCTCTCTCTCGCACGCCTTCTCTCCCTCTTTGCACGCAGCTGCTGGCATGCTGCTCATAAAACTCACTCAAGTAAAAGTACGAATGGTTTTCGATATGAAATGCATGAAACTGACAGCCAAACATATTGCGCCGCATTTTTACCACACAGCAGAGTTGCCTCCAATTCTAGCTGCACCACCTCCTCCTCCCCGCACACCCAGGCACCACGTAAGCCCTTCAATAACCAGTTGCCCGACTGACTGTTAGCTACCATTTGGCCATTGCCTATCACTCCCACTCTCCGCTCCTCCTCTCACCCATCTGCCATTCCCTCGCTCCCTCTCCCTCCCTTTTTTGATATGCGAGATATGAGCCTGAGCGCTTTTCCTATCAAGCACCTTCCCCCTCCCGCCCACAACTGCACCACCGCCAGAGGCAACCAGCTACCCGCTAGATGCTGCGGACTGAGGCTATTTGGCATTGTTGAAGCTTGTTTTATGTAAAGGATATACACAATTTCCATATGCGACACACGAACTTCGCGTCGTCCGTCGTCTCTCCCACCACCCACATTTAATACTATATGCAGTTAACCCACTCAACCGTCTACACCACCCGCCGCCCCGTCATCCACCCACGTTATTGTATCAAAATGCATTTTGTACACTCGACAAGATACTCGCGCACATTATATGAAACGTTTCACTCTTAATATGCAACTAGGCAACACAGCAGCTGATTGCAGGCGGTGAGGGAAGTGTGCAGACGGGTAGGGAAGTGTGGCGCAGCGTTGCCACTTGGTTTCAGACTCAGCCATTACATTCGTGTGCCTGAGAACGAAATGGAATAGGATTAAAGAAGGGCTAGCTTGCTAACTTGCTAGCTGTGCTGACTTTTCCGCAGAATACGTGAAAAAGTGAAGGCTAACATGCAAAATGCTGGTAAAAATATCTTAAGGAACAAAAACAAATTTGATATTAGAATTTAATTTTCACCACATCATCATCGCATTAAGCTCAGATCAAGTGACGCGCCCTCGCTAATAGAATATCGAAAATAATCGATAAATGCCGTTGGCAAAAGTTTGTTAAAATTGGGCAAAGTTAATGTTATAAATACCTAACAGCTGCATATTTCAAATGGAACTTAATTTAGATAAACAGCACATAAATCAATCGATATGTCAGTAATTCATGCTTGTGCTATCGTTATCGCTAAAATTATCGATGACACGCTATATATATATATATATATATCTAGATAATTACCTGCTGGAATGGTTCGGCTCGTGTGCAAAGGGCTCGGCATAGATATTACGCACTGGCGGCACACGTCGCGGCAATGGAGGCGGCACTGGATTATAGCCATCCATAATTGTATCACAATCGGAGTACTTCATCGATTTCATAGTCATTTTGTTATCGATTACAGTTTGCGTACGGTACGGTATGTTTCGTTATGGGTGGTTTGGTGGTTCGTGAATCGTTATTCGTGTTTTGTGTTTCGCGGTTCGTTTTCTGATACCTGATTCGCACTTCACTCGCGCTACATGTGTATTTCACTTCTTTTTATTTTTCTGTCTCTCTCTCTTATTTTCTTTGTTAATTTGTTTGCTTTTGTATTTGCATTAAATAAATATTGACATATTCATATGAGTATTTCAGTTGGGCGCGATTTTGCGATTACTGTAATTATTATTAATTATTATTGGCCACGTTGCGCGTTTGCAATTTCATTAATCAACGCCTGCCTGTTGTTGCACGTTCTGTTTGCAATCGCAATTGCAATTGCCGTTTGGTTGTTGTTGCAATTATGCGTTATCAGTAGTCGATATGCGCGGCACTCAGCGCGTAGCTCAGAGCGCGCCCCCAAATAGCTCCATATGCTCGACGCTGGCCAGGGGGCAGGCGATTGCAACTGTGGCCCAGGGGCGGCGCATGCGGGTGGGTGCTGGCATCGCTGCCGCCGACAGCGCTTTTAATTGAATGCAAATATTCATTTACCTGCACAGGGTGTCTCTCCCCCTCCCAGTCTCACGTTCACTGTCACTCTTGTTCTTATTTTTATCCCTTTGGTTTATTCTTTGTTCTCTCTACTAGCTGACTGTCTCGCTCACACTTGACGCTGTTTTATGGGCTTCACATATTTTATTTGCCACAAGCACTTGCAACAACAATGCCAACTGCAACAGCGGCAATTTTGTGTTGCCACAAAGTGTTTACCTTGTTGTTGTTGTTGTTGTTATTTTGGATATTGGCCTGCGGAAAAGGATTAGAGAGATAATATATGTATCATTATATAGAGCTGTCAAACGGTTGACAACTTTGTGACCAAATTCCATTTACGCTTTCTCGTTTCACTCGTTTCGTTTCGTTTTGTTCTTTTCACGCCCGACGACGGATTTTCGATCAATTTATTGTTGTTTTTTGACAAGCTTCTTCAAAAGCGTTCAATTCTTATGTTAAGCACTGACATTTCATAAATGAATTGACTCGACTCTTGACCTATGTAAACATGTTTCCTATAAATGAACTAGTTCTATTTGAAGACGTGACTACATATTTTGTTTAGCTCTTTAAAGAGCATTTACTTGTTAATATTATTCGCTAAGCCCAATTTTGTTGCAACGTTTTTCCAATTTAATAAATTCAAATAGACGAATATTTACACACAACAATCCACATGTCAATTTACAGTTTTATGTTTCATTGAACTCAAGACATATTTATAAAAATCTTTTATAGTTTCAAAAGGGAAAATTATCAATTAATGCTGTTTGTTCAATTGGAAATTCCAAGAAATTGAAATGCCTTATGTGCAACTAAGGAATCCCAAGAGGAGATAATCTGCCACTTTTCCCAATGTTGCCACAAAATAAAAAAACACACACATGCACACACACTCAGATAGACACTATTTCCGGCTGTTTTGCGGAATGCAGCAATGTGAAATAATTTCGAGTATCGATTTTAATTTTTGGGCTCAAACACAGCTCAACTCGAAATCATCTTTGATTCTTCGCCTGGGCAAAAGCAGCCAAAAGGAAAGAAAAAACGAAATCCGCTGCAAATGGACGCATAAAATGTATGTGTGTATGTGTGTCTTTGCCACGCCCCTTCTGAACACGCACCTGCTCCGTCGATGCGCAAACAATCGCAATAAGTGTATCTGTGTCCATCGCTTAAGCTGCATCTGTATCTGTATCTGTATCTGTATCTGTATCTGTATCTGTATCTGTATCTGTATCTGTATCTGTATCTGCATCTGCATCTGCATCTGCATCTGCATCTGCATCTGCATCATCTGTATCTGTATCTGTATTTGTATCTGTATCTGTATCTGTATCTGTATCTGTATCTGTATCTGTATCTGTAATCTGTATCTGTATCTGTATTTGTATCTGTATCTGTATCTGTATCTGTATCTGTATCTGTATCTGTATCTGTATCTGTATCTGTATCTGTATCTGTATCTGTATCTGTATCTGTATCTGTATCTGTATCTGTATCTGTATCTGTATCTGTATCTGTATCTGTATCTGTATCTGTATCTGTATCTGTATCTGTATCTGTATCTGTATCTGTATCTGTATCTGTATCTGTATCTGTATCTGTATCTGTATCTGTATCTGTATCTGTATCTGTATCTGTATCTGTATCTGTATCTGTATCTGTATCTGTATCTGTATCTGTATCTGTATCTGTATCTGTATCTGTATCTGTATCTGTATCTGTATCTGTATCTGTATCTGTATCTGTATCTGTATCTGTATCTGTATCTGTATCTGTATCGTATCTGTATCTGTATCTGTATCTGTATCTGTATCTGTATCTGTATCTGTATCTGTATCTGTATCTGTATCTTGTATCTGTATCTGTATCTGTATCTGTATCTGTATCTGTATCTGTATCTGTATCTGTATCTGTATCTGTATCTGTATCTGTATCTGTATTGTATCTGTATCTGTATCTGTATCTGTATCTGTATCTGTATCTGTATCTGTATCTGTATCTGTATTGTTCTGTATCCTGTATCTGTATCTGTATCTGTATCTGTATCTGATCGTATCTGTATTGTATCTGTATCTGTATCTGTATCTGTATCTGTATCTGTATCTGTATCTGTATCTGTATCTGTATCTGTATCTGTATCTGTATCTGTATCTGTACTGTATCTGTATCTGTATCTGTATCTGTATCTGTATCTGTATCTGTATCTGTATCTGTATCTGTATCTGTATCTGTATCTGTATCTGTATCTGTATCTGGTTCTGTATCTGTATCTGTATCTGTATCTGTATCTGTATCTGTATCTGTATCTGTATCTGTATCTGTATCTGTATCTGTATCTGTATCTGTATCTGTATCTGTATCTGTATCTGTATCTGTATCTGTATCTGTATCTGTATCTGTATCTGTATCTGTATCTGTATCTGTATCTGTATCTGTATCTGTATCTGTATCTGTATCTGTATCTGTATCTGTATCTGTATCTGTATCTGTATCTGTATCTGTATCTGTATCTGTATCTGTATCTGTATCTGTATCTGTATCTGTATCGTATCTGTATCTGTATCTGTATCTGTATCTGTATCTGTATCTGTATCTGTATCTGTATCTGTATCTGTATCTGTATCTGTATCTGTATCTGTTATCTGTATCTGTATCTATCTGTATCTGTATCTGTATCTGTATCTGTATCTGTATCTGTATCTGTATCTGTATCTGTATCTGTATCTGTATCTGTATCTGTATCTGTATCTGTATCTGTATCTGTATCTGTATCTGTATCTGTATCTGTATCTGTATCTGTATCTGTATCTGTATCTGTATCTGTATCTGTATCTGTATCTGTATCTGTATCTGTATCTGTATCTGTATCTGTATCTGTATCTGTATCTGTATCTATATCTATAGCTTCGGCCTTAGTTTTAGTTGTATCTGTATCTGTAAATGCATCTGTATCTATATGCCTGTATTTGAATCCATATTTGTATTTGTATTTGTTTTTCTATCTGTATCTGTATCTCTGGCTGCATTTGTATCTGTAGTTGTATTGGCATCTGTGTCCCAAGCTAGCATCTATCTTGTATTCCAATACTCAACATATTTGTTACACTTGCTTTCTGCCGTTGCTGTTGCTGCTGGCTTTGGGCCTGCCTGGCAGCCAGCCTGAGAGCTGTTGTTGTGTATCTGCCGCTTGTATCTCTCTAATCACAAAATCCCACCCATGATGTACAACAACAACAACAACAACAATAGCAACACCAATATTCAAAGTCATCGTGTAATATTGAAAAAAAAGAGGCAGAAAGGGAATCCACAGAGAGCCAAAGGAGTTGAGTATAGCGGGGCAAAGGGGGCGGTTGGGTTTCGAGGGGATGGTAGCTCTTGTGGCCCAAACGTATCGAAAGCCAATGCCAAACAATTTCGTATCTAATCCGTTATTGTGGTCGAAAAAAGCTCGTGTGTGTGTGTTTGTTTGTTGGATCTGCAAGATACATTTGAATCGGCGGCGCGCATTTCTAGAGGATTTTCATTTCAAATTAAATTTATGAGATAGCAGAAAAATTGAATTACAAAACGTGGCGTGAAGCCGCCAGCCGACAGTCTCCAAGTAGCTGTGCGCGACACCTCAAATGAACCGCAACTTATGGCCACAAGATACAAAAACATCCAGATACACGCTGCCACAATTGTAGACCGCAAGAGGGGCCAGCCAATTGCGCAGCTATTTGGTAAGATATATATATGTGTATGTGTATATAGATCGAACTCAGCTTTGCCACTAATTTTCCATTAATCAACAACACAGCGAAGCGACTGGCCGTGGGCGTGGCACATTAATTAACACACGCCACACGCACACATAGAAAAACACAGTATACGCACTCGCGATGAGCTAGCACATTCGCAGATTGCGCAGCGAACTACTTGCCATACATTCGATAGCAGCTTACAGATGCCAGCTAAAAGATACAAGATACATTTGTATCTGTTCGACTGCTTGTGCTCAGCGTGTCGCTTAATCATCATCAGCAGCATTTGCCCAGAAATGAAAACAATTTCACGTTCATTAAAATACACAAAAAGAAGCGCAACGCAAAATCAACTTTTCATCGATTTGTTTCTTCCAATCGCTTCGACATGTTTCAACACGCGTCCAAAAAAAAAAAAAATAAAAATAAATAAATAAAAAAAAAGGAAAAAACGAGAGATATTTCTGTCTGGTAATCACATAATTGACCCACCACAAGCTGCCGCCACAGCATATTATGAATTTATTGACAAGTGTAAAAAGAAATTACATAAATTGGAATTTTAGCATATTTCTGTTTTTCAGCTAAAAAAAAAATATCAAGGAATTTGTCAGCTGTTGAAATGTTTTGCAGTTTCCGCATAACACGAGCTGCCG